TCAGAAATAAACCCCATTGAATTTCATGAGGATTGTTCCACGATATATGCAGGATTGCACTCTGAATACCTGCAAAAGCATTTTAAATTTTTGCGAAAGGGGTTGAAACAAAGCATCTGCTTCTGTTGTCAGCAGATAAAAAACCCCACAAATCCAAGTTGTGATTCACTTGGGGATATGGCAGTACAGTGGTACCTTGGTTCTCAAACTTAATCCATTCTGGGAGTCCATTCGGCTCCTGAAACCATTTGAAAATCAAGGTGCAGCTTCCGATTGGCTGGCTGCAGGAGCTTCCTGCACTCAATCAGATGCCGCGTTGGACGTTTGGCTTCCAAAAAACGTTCGCAGACTGGAACACTTACTTCTGGGTTTGCAGCATTCAGGAGCCGATTTGTTAGACAACTAAGCCATTCGAGAACCAAAGTACCACTGTAGTGGAGACAGGTTCTCCCAGAGTCTGCTGGAGTGTCTTTTTCTGCAAAGGACTGGGGCAATCAACCCTAGAATCTGTTGGAAAAATAGTAAGTTTATCATCAGTTTCCAGTTAGGAATTCTGGAGCCAGTAATCTGAGCCCTGGTCACTGGTAGGAACTCTGCTAGGATTCTGGGAGTATCCATTGCAACTTGCTTCATTGCCTATACATTCCTGGGTCAGTTCTTCAGTTTGGGTGATGACAGATTTATTAAATTGTAGAGTTGGAAGGGTCCCAAGGATCATCTAGTCCAACCATCTGCAATGCAAGAATCTCACCTAAAGTATCCATGACAGATGACTATCCCACATCTGTTTAAAACCCTCCAATGAAGGAAAGTCCACCACCTTCCAGGGGAGTTCATTCCATTGCCAAACAGCTCTTGCCGTCAGAAAGTTCTTTCTGATATTTAGTTGGAATCTCCTTTCGTGTAAATTGAAACCATTGGGCCAGGTCCTACCTTAGATCCATAGTTAACAGGTAAGAGGAGACTTTTGCATAGTTTTACAATAAAAACAAAGGGCTTTCCCTGTTTTACGTTCTGGGAGAGAAAGAGGCTGGAGAAAAAGACTAACCTTGGCTTTGGAGATTTGGATAGTGGGGGGTCTGTAACCTGGCAGGGTTATGCCCCACTTTGCCCATAAGAGGGATCTCCCCTGCCATTAAGTGACAATAATCTTTAAATTATTTAAGGAGAATACATTACAAAACAGTCCCAATACTGACTTGAAAGAAATTCATTCTTCAAAGCAGTTTCTTCTTCTTTTAATCATTCCAATGGATATAGTTAAATACTTGTCTTAATTCAGAGTGATTTAATACCTTAGTCCTGGGCAGTTCTCCAAGTTGTATTTTCTTATGGCTTCTGAATGAAATAGAACAAGTTGTGCATTAAGTCCCTCTTTACGTCTTGTTAGATTCTGCTTATTTATATAAATATTTTATACTGCTTTTCCACCTGTTTGAAGCTGTACTTCTAAATGTAAATGTAGGCTGGACATTTGTCCTTCTTACATTTGAAGTTCCCAACTCAGTTTTCAAATCTGTCAGGATCTTGTTGGATTTTTAGGCTATTTTCAAAGTTGTTAGTAATTACTTTCAGCTTTGTATCATTTGCAAATTTTGTGAATCTACTTCATCTAGGTCATTTGTGTGTAGATGAAGAACAGTACCAAACCAATTGATCCTTATTATTTATTTACTACTTGAAAATGATACATTTATTAGTCTTTGAGTGTCTTCCTTCTTTCCTTCTTCTGAAGTGATCAAGTTGGCATATATATAGTTACCTCTATTTCATATTCACAACAACTCTATGAGGTAGCATGTTCAGATAGACTTGTCTAAGGTCCTCTAGTGAGCTTCCTGGCTGAGTGGAAATTCCAATACAGTGGAACCTCGGGTTACATACCGTCCTCCTTACAAACGGTTTGGGCAACGAGCTCCGCTAACCCGGACGTAGATGCTTCTGGTAGCAAACCTTGCTCCAGGATGTGAGCGGAAGTCACGCACCGGTGGCGCGGTGGTAGTGGGAGGCCCCATTAGTGAAAGCGCGCCTCATGTTAAGAACGGTTTCAGGTTAAGAAAGAACCTCCGGAACAATTAAGTTTATTACCGGAGGTACCACTATATAGGTCTTTCTAATCTTAGTCTAACATTCTAGTCAGTACACCATGCTTCCCCACTACTTGATTCTGAGATTTCCAAGGCTTTTCCTTATAATTTGTGAAATAATTTCCTTGTAGATTTATATTGATGTATATTATTTAAGTATTCATTAATGTACTTCCTTAACATTTGTACCAGTATCCCTTATTCTTCTTATTCCTATCTGTATTGTCATTGTCCAAAATAAAAAAGTTTATGAGTTTATGGCACCTGCATTGTATCCCTTTCTGCTTGAGCCAGCAGCCCACATCTTAAAGGCTATTTTTTCCCCCTACTAGATGCCTCACTGTACATCTGAAATAAACCTGACCCTTATACTAATAAAAGGAGACTTGGCCAGCAGCCAGGTTATGTGCGGGAACCTGCCTACTGAGTGGTAATTTGCTTCCTTTGTGCTCTGTACCCTGATCTGTGCCTTGGATAGGCCATTTCACAACAGTTGTCAACAGCTTTTTTCATGCCACACTCAGACAAATGAGTTGCCATGGGACAGACAAGCAAAAGCATGTATAGAGGTGAGGTACACAGCTGCAGGGTATCTACCCTTTGCACTAACCATTTTTCTGCTCACTGTACTTCCTGCCAGCCCTCTCAAACTGGACTCCACGGTTCCCATTGCTATGTCTGGGTGAAAAGGGAGGGGCACCAACTTTCTCTGGTATTTGGCACTAGCTTAATAAAAGTGTTGAAGTTAGAAATTAAAAATGTTAAGTCTCACTGGATAGTACCCTATGATGAGATATGTGTTTGCAACTGGCTTGTTATGCTTGGAATCTAACACTTTGTTCCTTGTTTAAAGCACACACGTGACCTTCCTTCAATTTCTTAGTCTTTCCCCTATTTTTATATTTCCATAGTTCTGTATTTCTTAATGTCTGTGTAAAGCAGGGTTGGTTTTTTTCTTTTTGAGGTTAATATGAATGTTATATAGAAAAGAGTCCTGGCCCAAGTAACACCCGTATTCATTCTGAATTTGCAGAGATGACTTGTGAGGTGTGCAATCCATGAATCTTATCCTAGAACATTGCATACTGAAAAGGACATGGCACAGGTGGATGATGGTTGTGCTCCTCTTGAAAGAGCATCTTCATAGCTTGGAAATACTTCTGAGACAAGCATTGTTTCTAGAGGCCCAGGTACAGAGTTCCTTACTAGCAACAGGTTCACTAACTTCAACTCTTCCCGGAAGGGATAGCCTTCCCACAGTGATCTCCTTTTTCCTAGTTTACTTTCCCAGCAGTGATAATGAGATCTGGGCTTAAGGAGGGCACCAATTTGCTACTCCTTTGTCTCATTGTAGAGCTAGCCCTGTTGTCAGGTGAAGTTTGACATGTGGCAATGGGAGAAGCAGTCACAACAGGGAACTATGGCTTAATTCAAGCTGGGAACTTTGCACTGGATATGACAAGTAATGGGAGGAGTGGAAGGATGAGGAAAGAACACTCAGACTTGACACTGAACTGGACTCTATAGAGTTAACTATATAAAATCTATTTTTTTCTTAATCATGCAAGTAAGGCAATATTGTTCCACAGAGTTATTATTTTGCCTTTCTTTTTCTAATCAGGAGTTAGAATGTCTGCACAACTAAAACAAATTAAGTTACAATATAAAAGTGGGATAGGTGAGGAATGTGTGACAAATGGAAAGGATAATTGGGGAGTCTGGGACAGCAAAATGCTGAAGCTGAAGTTATCACATACAGGTGCATCCTTATTTTAAAGTGAGCATCCTCTTTCTTTGTTCATTAGAGTCAGCAACGGTTGTTGTCTGACAAGCACAAAACACTGAGCTTCGGTTGCCTGATTAATGATTTCCAGCCACCATGTGGGTGCTCTTGATTGCCAAAGAATCATATACAAAGTAGTTTCAGTACTGATAAATTCAGGAGCTGTCTTTGTTTATCCCAGAATTGTTGTCCATAAGACATTTTCACATGTAACATGCAGCATAATTTTCACCTGTACACAAGCCAGCTAACTATATTTTCTCTCATTCTCTGTGTATGTTGCTGTCAAGTCTATAGAAGCCATTAGTGTCTTATTCAGAAATAGGATATGTTTGTTGTATTTTAGATTTTCAGCATTTCCCCCCTGATACATGGAGAATGATTCAACAGTAACCAATGTTAGTTATACTCAGAGTAGACCCATTGAAATAAATGAACCTACTCTATGACTTAGTTACCATTCATTGTATTACAGCGAGAGCTCTTTATATTTGATTATCAGATGGATATTAAGTGCAACATGGCAACTCTTCAAGCACCCAATTAGTTATGTGAATCAGCTTTAACATCTCAGACATCATAAAGCAATATTATTATCATTATCATTATTAATTCAATCTCTTACCCACCTTCCCTGTAAGGTCACAGGGCACGTAACAGCAGTTTCAAAATAGAATATTAAAAACTGTTCAAAGCAATTTACAATCACAAGAACAGGGTGGGTTCTGAAATATACCTCTCAAGTTTCAAAAGAGCAGGGCAAAGATGTAAATTTATGCCCAAGGCTAGTTGCCAGGATTTTCCCATAGGAATATAAAGGAGGGACTGAGCTGTCTAGTTCAGACCAAGGACAGAAATGCAGGGGACAAATCTCACCACCTTTGTGGAAGTGACCTTGATAGGCCACAGCAAGTCAGAAGATACTTCCTGCTCTTTTTTTTTTTTTTTTTTTTTTACTAGGACACTCAGGTTTTTAAATTCACATCTTTGAATGTCATGACATCTCTCCCTGCTGAGTTGTTTCTAATGGTGGCAGGAGCTCTCACCGCTCCTTTGGAGACTACAACGCCCTTCCTTAGGTCCATGGTTTTGGGAACAGTCCGGCCCCCCTCGCCAGCTCTCTGGCCGCATCACCTGAAGATCTTTCCCTGGTTGAAGGCTTTGCCAACATGCTTGAACTCACCCTCCCGCAGGAAATACTCCTTCACCATCGTCTCACACTCCTTGCTCTCCAGGTCCAGCTTCCACCAAGTGTAGGATTCGTAATCCACCTGCCAGTCGGGGCTCAGCAGAAAGGTTAGCTCCTGCCCACGGAAGACCCAAATGCCAGAGATACAGCTGGCATTGTTGGTGCCAAAGATGATGACGGAAGCAAAGGCGTTCTTGCGCACCTTGTCTAGGCACTGGAACATGCCTGTGATGAGGTTGCAGCTCATGAAGGTCTGAATGAGCTCCTCGGGGAAGCGATACTCTGCATACCAGATGGACCAACCCTCCTTGTTGAAATGCTCCCAAGAAGTGGGGTGTTGCCACCGTCAGGAAGCCCTCGTTTGAGTACTTCCTTTTGAACTCGTCCATGATGAAGGGGCTTTTGGAGAGGTGAGCAAAGGGGTCTTTGGATTTGGACTTGGAGGGCAAGGCATCATCGCACTCGTCCATCTCCTCCTCGGGCTCGGGCTTCTTTTCCTCTTTCTTCTCCGACTTCTTGTCCTCCTTGGGCTGCTTCTCCTTCTTGGGCACCTCCTTCTTGGGCTGGTTCTCAGCAAACTTCTTGGCATCAAGCTGTGCCATCTTCTCGCACAGCTTCACCTTTCCCAAGACAGCCTTGAACTGAGGCTGGTTTATGCAGGTCACAAACCAGCAGTTGACGTTTTCGTACGGCTGGTGGAAGGATGGCTCCAAAACCTGCTTATAAAGCCAGATAAGTGTGCAGACAATCGTGATGTCAGCCAGTGTGATGCATTCCCCCACCAGGAACATCCTGGTCTTCAAATGGGCATCAAGGAGGGCCAGAATCCGCTTCACTTCCTCCTTGGCATACTCTGTAGCCTGTTTGTTGTAATGCATGATGCCCAGCGTGGGGAAGACCCCACGTGCTGGCAGGAGGGACAATGTCGCTGTCCGCAACGCTCACAAACTGGATGACCTGGGCAGCTGCCTCCTTGGTGGGTCCTCGCAGCTTCTCATTACTGACGTAGTGGTCAATGGCATTGCTCTCAAACATGCAGAATCCATCATTCCCTTCAAAGGCTGGAACCTTCCCAGCTGGGAATTTCTTCAGGAACTCCAGGGTCTTGTTGGTCTGCCCAAAGTGGAATTGTGGTGGGGTGGAGAGGACCTTGATCTTGGCGCCACTGTACTGGGCAGCTATGAGGGCTTTGAATGCCTGCCAGTTCTCGGGGTAGGTGTAAAGAGTTCCGGCCGCCGCCATCGTAGCGAGGAAAGGACTACTTCCTGCTCTTTTAAAGTACTTTTAGGTCCAGTTTGCTCACCAGTCTGAGCAATAAAGAGAGATCTGCACAAATACCTTCACTTTGTTCCTCCTCCCACTGCATCTCCACTTTTGCCTCAGCTCAGACTGCTCATTACTGCCCCAAGTCAATCATGTATGAGCAGGGCAAGCCATCACAGTACCAAGGGTGGAAATGTCTTGCATGAAAAAGTGCAGCACACTGTGGCATTTCTTTCTAAATGTCATTAAAAGCAATGTTTCCTAAAGGTGTGTCAGGCTACGCTAGTGAGTTTCAGGAAGATAGGAATGAATAGAATACTGTGATCTCCAATAAAAAACTAAGAAGGAGAATTCCTAGTAAAATGATATAATGAGAAGAGCATGGCAGTAATCATCCCCCAAAAATGTTTCATTCATGTATTCAAATACTTCTGAATGGGAACCATTGCTTTATCAAATCTCTCAATGTTCCTTATTTTTGTATGAAAGGATTTACAATATCTATTGTACCACATAAGGATTTTCTGTGGTCAAGACACATATCAGGCTAGTAGGCATATTTCTTTCATGTGACAAAAGTACATTGAGATGAATCCATCTACTTCTTATAATTATTTCATGGCAGCACATGATGTCCAATGGTTCCCAGCATGAGTCATTTAGAATATTTAGTACCACTGTGTTGACATTCTGCCAGGCACTTGCTGATAGCCGTGTGTAAGGAGTTTTGTTGCTGGATTTGATTCGCCTCAAAGCAGGTCGCAAATCTCAGTTACAGTTCAGTAGATCATCGAGATTTTATTGTTTAAGTTAGCTCTGTTTTTCTGGCTTGCTTCCAAAGCCAAAACTCAGAGTGTGGGTTCAGAGGGAAACATGAAGGGAAGGGCTGAAAAGGCAACCTGCTGCTAATGTGTAATTCGTAACTTGGTTCCGACTTTGACATTGTCCCCTGTGGAATGACAGCAGTTTAAATGGTTATAAAATTCATATCTTTGTTTAGAAGAACAAAGATTTTCTGTCGGTTCTGCAGGTTGATGTGTTTCTCATTCTTGTCATACTCTTAATCAAGGGATACAACTGACATGAATTGTGCTAAATATTACTAGCAGGAAGCTGCAGATAACAAGGCTCTCAATATAAGTTAAAATGACAAACCACTGGCACACCTTTCCACGTTGAAATAAAAACCACCTACCGTGTCTCTGTGTAAAGAAAATCACAGGTGCAAGAGAAAGGGATATTGGGTACACAAAAACATTTTAGAGAGAGCTACCCTTCTGTTTTTCCCTGTCCAATTTTGTTTCCAGTGGTGGTATGTGTCCCTCAGTTTGTTGCAGTAAAGAAATAGTGTGGAAGTAAGGCATAGATCTCCAAACATTTGGTTGCTATGCACCAGGATCATTGGATGTTTCCACCACATTGTTTGCTTATGTAAGGAACAACAAGGCTGTGGATTACTAAATCTTTCAGGTTACAGAAACTCCATTTGGCTCCGAAAGGCTGCTCCTGTGGTTGACTTTTCTCCCCAGTTGGCCTTAATTATTCAGAAGCACTCTCTGTTTTGAATGTGACCACTCCTGGGATGAAACCATCTGAAGCCCTCTTAAGTCTTTGAGATTTAGAGCTTTCTCAAACCGTACTATAACCCCTTGTATTCACCTGTATTAATCAGTGCATGATTATCATGAACAAATCAAGATATAGCTGTAGATGAGTGAGGTTGGGAATGGACAAACTTTTCAGCCTGACCCTTACTATTGGGGTGGAAAGAGTTGTCACAGAGTACCTGCATTTTGTTCTGTCAGCTCTGCAGCTCTTATTCGGTATATATCTGGTACACTCTTTAGGTAGTAAATTTATAATGTTCACAATGGCCATGTTTCCCAAAACACCCTTGCTTTTTAATAGTGTGACTGTGAAATACAATAGCAATGAAGAACTTGTATTCTGTTATTTTAGGGCAGCTAGTTAATCTATTCCACATTCTGACGCATCTTCCTATTGTACTATGTCTCCCTGAAACAACTGCCTTTATAATTATTATTAATTATGTCATGTAAAGGGTACACTGTGTACTTTGGCTTCTGTTCTCAGCTGTCTGTAATATTTCAGGGCTGAAATCCTCTTTTACTTCTACCAGATTATTATTCCTGAATTTTACTCTTACTGCTCATCTTGTTTTTAAGGTCTTTTAATGCCCCTGGTTTAGTTTGGTTTTGGCCAGTGACTGAAGAATTTGTTCCTCTCTTTCCAAATGTAAATGCATTTTAATTTCTCCCCCCACCCCTCTTGTTTGCTACATATGAGCTATTAGCTGACATGTTTATTTTCTAGAGTCTGGACCAGCTTTTAAAATTTGTTTTGCCTCCTTCAATTTATAAATGTTATAATCAATTATTTAGCTATCATTTCCCATGTGAGTCCTAAGCAGAATAGTTGATAGCCCTCACACAGGCCATTCGAAGAGACAGGCGTCTCTGAAGCAGCTGACACTGGTGAGCCCAGCTAGTTTCCAACCTCTCTTGAGTGCCAGAGTTTTGAGGGCCAGCCAGCAATTGCACATTTCGTTCATCACTCAGCCAATGAAAAGGATGTGTTGTGCAAGTCTCTTCACTCCCCTTTGCTGAGTTTGCATTGTTTTGCCCATTGCATATTCAGCCTCAGGGTAGCATTGAAAGAAAAAGCTGGCCATCAGAGAGAAATACCCTCAAACTACAGCAGTGTAATTGCACTCAATCAGCATCAGCTTAGCATCAATAATTAGGCAGGGGCCCAATAATAAAGCTGGCATCTAGGCTAGCCAGTGAAAACATGAGTACTACTATAGAACTTAGACACAAATGCTTTCAGGCAAAATTAACTTCATATGAAGAAACTACTTCTTTAGCTATTGCACTTGAATATGAGCAGGAGATTCATTGTATTAACATGGTATTTGTGTTAATAATGTTTTCTTTCTCATCCTTATTGAAGTTTCAGCTAAATAATTTTATTATTTTGCTTGTGACATGCTGTCTTTTCGAATCTAATTAAAACTTACTTTTTCGTCCTTAGGTGGAAAGAGAACTCTGCAGAGATGAGCTCTTAATTAATGCACAGGGTCCCTGCGAGTCCCACCTCTCAACAGCAGTGATTGACATCCAAGGATACATAAATTACACTAATTGAGCTTTGCATCTACGCAATCTTTCCACAACCGACTCATCGGAGGAGGTAAGTGAGCAGACCAGCATAAAAAGTTACTTCAGCATGCCTGTGTGCTTTCCCTTTGGGGGAAAATATTTCCAGATTACTGAACATATGTTTCTACAGAAGACAGATTTTCTCTTCACTTTCTCTTCACTTTACTTTTTATTTAAAAATATTAGCATCTTAATACAGCCACTTACTCACCACACATATCACGACTGCCGGCAGCAAAATGTTACAAATCAGTGACATTATACAAATAATCACTTGGCAACACTAGTTGATTTTAAATTGTATTGAATCATTTCTTTATCTAACTAGGTGGGGATAAAAATTAGTCTTAACTACAGATAATCTCTGTCAGAGTTTAGAGGCCATGTCACTTGCCTCAAAGGTCCTGCTGAAATCACCCAAAATGACACAGATTAAATGAGTCTAGATATATATTTAAAAGTACTTTTCTTTTGGGCCCAAAGAGTTATGTTCATAAATTCGCTGACATAACTTAGAGTGCTTGCTGGATGTAGATCATCTTTTGCAACTTGGTGTGTAAGGACACATTTGAAGGAGCATGGTAAGCTTAGCATCCAGCTATATGAGCCCCCCAAAATGGCCGAAATATGGGGTAGTATTGGTGCAATAACAAATTGCTACCTCATTAGACCCTGCAGAGTGTCACTTTCACATGCCTGCATATCCCACCTGGATGACTTACAAAACAGCATTATTATTATTATTATTATTATTATTATTTATTAATCACCTCATGAAAATTATCTAGGTGGTATGAGGTCATATGACATAGATCATTTTGGCCATATAATAGCTGGTGTTATCATGGCTGTGCAAAGGTGGTAATAGGCCCAGGTCAAGTGGAAAATATAGGTCCCATTTCAAAACACACACACACACACACACACACACACACACACACACACACTTTCAATAATCTTTACCAAAGGGTCCCTTTGCCTCTCCCAAGGGAATTCTGAGTAGGCCCCCTCAACACTGTAAGCACATGACAATGGTCCCACGTGGCTCTTGCTCTGTTTTGGCCTGGGTGTTATTTGGTATCTGCCTCATGGCCACAGACAAGAGCAGTACTTATGTGGCCAAAGTCTATTCAAGACTCTCAGGATAATTTACCATACAAAAGACAAATTCTTCAGAGCAAAAGGGAGAAGGTGATTTTCGTTCTTGAAATTGCCAGATGAGCAGTCTAAACAAGATGCCGGAAGTATAGGAAAGAGTGGATATGCTGCAATTGCTAGGCAACTCCCAAGTACTGTCCCCTCACGTGCTCATCCAGTTGGAGCCCAAGAGCAGTGTAGTCTTTCCTGGGTAGAAACACTGCCTGCAGTATAGCCCTGAGGTGTGCGGGCTTAATTGGGAATCCATTATGGTGTGAGATTCTACAGCCAGATGATACGTTTGTAGGAGAAGCTCTGTGGCATGTGGGGCTTCTTGGCACTGAACTATTCCCCATGTGTTTGGCAGTGCTGAATATGTTTCTAGCTCTCTAACATCTTTTTTGGCTAGATAAGTTTGTCTAAATCTGCAAAATATTTAGTCTGTTTCTGATGAATAATTCAAAAAATACCTAAGGATGAATTGCTTGAAATGTCTATAAAGTGTATTTGCATAATATTCTCCCTTTTCGTTTTGGACCAACTGTCCAGTTTTATAGTGCACTTTGATCTTCTTGTTGTAAATGTTGTTTAAAGAATGTTTGGGCGGCATTCATTAAATTTAACTAGACATAAGATTAAGACTGTGGTGCAATGCAGTGA